TTATACACAGACGAGGAAACTGAGGCACCAGGAGGCTAAGCAGCTGCTCAAGGTTGCCACACTAGTAAGTGTTAGAGTCTAGTTAGAATCTGAGCAGCTTCACTCCAGAGCCCAAACTCTGTGGGCCTCATGTGCCCACAACCATGGGAGAGTGGTTTGGGGGAGCAAGATCGCACGTAGACCCCACCTGCAACTGGCTGAGCTGCTGGTGAGGACCAAATGTCCTCTGGGCACCACCTGGACCAGGACGAGGACTGGAGGGGGATGAAAGATCAGCTAGGGGGGCTCATCTGCAGGGTAGAGTGTCTGGGCCTCTCTTGTAGAGACAAAGCCTATCTCCCAAGTTCTTGGGCAGCCCCATGATGGGGGATAGCAAAGGCGTGGCCACTCCCCTGTGACTATCACAGAATGCATTGTAGGTGTAGAGTCACAGGCTGGGCTGAGTCACCTTTTCAGTGAAAATGTTCCTGTCTGGACTAGCCTGCTCTGGGCAAGACCCAGTGGGAACCTAGGCAGACCCTTCCTCTAACAGCTGGAAGGTCTCAGATAAAAAGATCTGAGCTCCACCACTCCAGGTTGATATACAGGGGCCTGATCCCCAGAAAATTGTCCTTTTTTCCCCCCCTAAAACCGTGGAGTGGGAAGTGAGGCTGAAGCTTCTCAATGCAGCAAAATCATAACCCCCCAGGTAGCTGCTTACAAATACTGCCACCCAAGCCAACCTCGGACCTGCTGAATGGGCCCCTCCATCCAGTCAGCGCTGCACGGCCCTCTGAGTGCCAGCGTGAGGGCAGGAGAAAGCCCCTCCTGGGTGGCCCCCAGAGCTCAGCAGCGAGAGCTGAGATGCCCCCACGCTCCCAGATGACCTGCATTCCTGTGGGCGAGGCTTCCTTCAGTGAAGAGTTCCAGGAAAACTCAGTCTGGAAAAGGTTGAGTCATCAGTAGAGTAGGAGAGGTAAAAAAGAGCTCAGCTTCTGAGTCAGGCTGTGGGTTAAGTCCTGACACCAACAGTTAATAGTTGTGTAACCTTGATAAGCACCCTTGCTGGTAAAATGGGGCATTCATATTTAACCTGGTGCAAATGTCGGGGAGGTCAAGGAAATGAGCACTGCATTTAAAGCATCTAACACACAGGGCCCAGCACATAGGAGGTGCTCAAATCACTAACGGTCATAACAGCAGCTCATGACTCCACAAACAAGGGATACAGCGTATGCAAGCACACAGTTGGGCAACATCTGGACTGCACAGGCTCTTGGGATGGAATTTCCACAAGGAATTATTTCTAACAATTTCTGCTGTGAAACATGATGCTAAGAAATGAGATAGGATAATCTGTCATCAGACATTTGAAATTCAAGCAAAGGATATGGAAGGACTTCTTACCTCTTACTGAAAAGAAATATCCCTATAGACATACTATGGATGGGAATCTGCTCTGTATTTTCAGGATCTAACCCAGGGCTTGCATGGAAGGATGGGTAGATGGAAGGAAGGAAGGAAGGATGGAAGGAAGGAAGGATGGGAGGGAGGGAGGGAGGGAGGAGGGAGGGAGGAAGGATGGATGGAAGGATGGATGGAGAATGGTTGAATAGATGAATGAATGGGTGAGTTGGTGGGTGGGTAGGGGAAAGAGTAGATGAGTGGATGAGGGGTGGATAGAAGGAGGGAACAGGTGAGTGGGAGACCAAATTCAATGGGACTAAACTCCCTTCCATTTGAAGGATTTCTGAGTCTCTCTCAAATTCAATGCCGATCTCAAATCTCCCTCCACTCCTCTACAGTTCCTCTCCCAAAAACACATACTTAAGAGAGATCATTCATTTACATCTCAGAAACTCTGCAGGCACAAGTCTAAGTGCCCTGAGACAAGCCCTGGATTAGAGATTTGGAAATCAAGGGCCCAGAGATTTTTGTTATCTGGTTGATATCACAATTTCCGAAGCATCATGCAGTTTTTCTAAACCTAACCCTCTGTTCCCTATGAGCTTGTGGACGCACAAATGCCCTAAGCTGTCAGGACGCTCAGGTGGGTGCCCTGGCTCTCTGCTTCCTGTAAGTGGGCAGCCCATGCCTGGCTTCCAGTCTTGTCTGCACGCTTTCGTGTTCAGCTCATTGTCCTGTAGCTTTGGGTGGGGTTGTCCTTCCTGCTGCCTGTCGACGGTACTGAAGGGAGCTGGCGGTGGCTGGGCCTGCTGCCTGCCCTCAGTTGGCACTGGCTGTGAAGCGCCCAGCCTGATCCAGAGCCCATGCCCCAGGGCAGAGGCTTCTCCCCGCAGGCTGTGGCTCTGGCTGGCAAGAACCTGTTAACCAAGAGGCTGTTCTGTGGAGGAGACCTGGCAATCCCACAGAGCCCAGAGGGGAACCGGCAACCCCCCCACAGGCAAGCTGGGCACACCACAGTCTCTCAGGGTGCCCCCACCTTCCTCATTCAAGTAGGTCCCCTACACAGGTCTGCCCAATCCCAAGATAGCCACCTCCACAGGACGCAGTACCATTCATGTTCTCTGGTAGCCCCTGCACTCTGCAGTGCCCCCCCACTTCTCCTCCCAAGCTCCCATCAACCCAGGGAAACCTTCCCAGCCTCAGGAATCTCATCACAAATGATCCAAAAACCAGCCCGGCAAGAATGAGGGAGGGAAACCTGCAGGTCCAGGCAGGACCCTTCTGATGACAACCAGGTGGCTGGGAAGACGCATATGGTAATCGTTGTGCCCTGTCACCTCAATAAAACCATTGCTGGACTCTGAAAGATGCCCCTCAGTCCCAGGACTTTCTCCTGGTTCTCCCTCCTCCCAAAGCCAAAGGCAAGAGTCTGGGCTCTGCAGCCTCTTCTTGCTGCCCCCACAGCAAGTGTGGCGGCTCCGGGAATGGCCACAGTGGCCACCTGCAAGGGCTTTGCTGGCACTGTATGAGCCTGCAGCCCCCGACTCCCCAAGGCTGGAACTGGCACTGAGAGCTGGGATTCCGTCTCTCAGGGAGGCCAGGTGGTGCTGACCAGTCGGCCCTGCCTGCCTCCTCCTCAGGAGGCCCCTCCTTCCAGCCTGAGGGCCAAGCTGGCAGGATGAGCCTCCCCTTGGCCAAGGCAACTAAGAGGCACCTGGGGCCTCTGCAGCCCTGAGGTGAGGAGGCCACATGGCAACTTGGTGCAAAGTGGACAAAGGCACCCGTCCTCAGCACACATCTGCCGCAAACTACCACATCCAGAAGCTGCGGCCGTGGACCAGGAAGGACCCCTCAGGCCACCCTCCACCTGAGGTGGACAGGCAGGAAGAGCCAAGCCAGGCAGGGCCAGGAGGAGCTGGAGGCGCAGCCCCAGCCTACAGCGGCCAAGCTGGTGCTCACCTGTGGGGTGGGCTGCGAGGTGGGCCGGGAGCCTGCACTGCCCTCCGTGCCTTCCCACTTTGAGCAGGCCGGGGTTCTCTTGCAGATTGAACAGGAGGGTGTTGCGGTAAAGGGCAGCCCCCACTTCAACCCAGACCCTGACGCGGAGACCCTCTACAAAGCCATGAAGGGGCTCGGTGAGTGGGCGTCCATGGCCTTGACTCCGAGCGCTGTGACTCTCTGGGGCTCTGCGCACTCTGCTCAAGTCCCCTCTGCTCACAGCAGTGGAGAGGGGATGCCAGGGGCCAGCCTGGGAGTTGGGGGCGTCTCTCCATAATCCTCTGAGACTGACTCCCAGCCGTGGTCTACACACACTCCCGACTGGAGACGGGGGAGGGCAGTTGTGCCTCCCTGAGCTCTGGGGGTGGAGAGGGGGCAGCCATCTGTGTGTGTTCCTGTGTGTCCTTGTGCACGCCACTTCACCCCGCTGGGGCTGAGCCTTCTCACTCTCACTGGTAAATGTCCCCAAGAACTCTGGACCTTGCGTCACTGGGATTGTGGGTGGGAGGATGTTGGGAGTTTTGTGGGGCTGAACTGGGCCCAGGGGGCATCGCACAGGTTCTGCAGCTTTTCACCTGCTCCGCTTCAGCTGGCCACAGGGCGGGCTCCATCCTGTCTCCAGTATCCGCGTGCCTGTGAGCGGGAAAGGGCCAGCCTGAAGCCCTCCCTCAGCCCAGACAGCCCTCGTGCTGTCAGCCCAGGCAGGATTTACCCCCTAGCTGGCTCTGACTGGAGAATTGGGGCATTAACAAGAACTGCCATTCCTAGACGAGCCTAGAAAGCGTGTTCATGTCCTCTATTTCCTGTGAAATCTTGACTATTATCTCCACTTCCCAAAGGAGAAAACGGAGGCTCGGGGAGGTGCGGCAGCTGGCCCATCCAGTGCTGGGCTGGGACTCAGATCCAGTCTCCTGGACCCTCAGTCCTGACCTTGCCTCACTGCCACCAGCACAAGGGCAGTCAAGGCAGGAGGTCTCACTTTCTGAGCTCAAAAGACCCCAGGTGATATCCAGAGCAGACCAGATGACCAGAGGGTCCTCAAATTCTATCACTGTGAGGCTGGGCCTGGGCCGCACCCCAGCATTGTGTGGTTGGGAGGTGGGAAATGGACAGACAGATTTTCTATCTAGGCATCTTGTCTACACCATGAAAATCACCAGGTTTGGGAGCTATCCAGGTGATGTATCCCCACTGCTTGGCCACCAAGCAGCTGCCTTCCCTCCCCCCAAGCCCTCATCAGCCCCCCTGGGGGCAGTGGGGTGCTCACGCTGTGCACCACTGCAGGGACCAACGAGCAGGCCATCATCGATGTGCTCACGAGGAGAAGCAACGCGCAGCGGCAGCAGATAGCCAAGTCCTTCAAGGCTCAGTTTGGCCAGGTAAGGGGGACTGGGGGCGGGGCAGGTGCGCTGGGGGCAGGGACTGCTGCTGCCAGAGACAGCTTGGAAGGCAGTTCCATTCTGGACGAGGCCCTTTTCTAGAGGCCAGCCCACTGGAAACACGGGCACAGGGGACATCCTTAGACTAAAAAAGGATTCATTGTTTATCTGAAATTCAAATTTAACTAGCCAGCCCATGTTTTATCTGGAAAACTTACTTATGGCTCCCCACGCTCCTGGCTTGGTGTCCTACCTCCTGCATCTGCCTCACCTTCCTTTCCCACTGTCTCTCCCACTGTGCTCCTTCACATTTGCTCTGTGGCCCCATCCGCCCATCCCTGAGCTCTCTTTCCCTGCTGTGATGCTTTGCTCACAGCTTGGCCTGTTCCCTGAGCCTGGAAGGCCCTTCTCTTTGCCACGTGCCAGAGACACAGGCCAGCTCCACTCTGTCCTGTGGCTTGGGACTCTCTCCTCCTGTTGGAGCTGCTGTGCCTGTGCCTCCTCCCCGCTGCCGCACGGGAACTCAAAGGGCAGGGGGCACGCAGCCTGGACCCTTTGTCTCTCCTCCCACCCTCCACCACCTCCAGGACAGACCCGGGCACTGGGGTGCTAGGTAACACAGGAATGAACACACACGTGGCCTTGGCTGCTGGAAGCCTCTGTCAGCGCATATCGTTAGTTCAAAGAGTTAACGCAGCAAGATGAGTGATGAAGCCCAAACATTCCATCGGAGAAATCAATGTGCTTTTTTTCTTAAATAGTTTCTCTCTCTTAATCTTCACGCCTGTGCATTATTCTCTGAGTGCAACATTAGAGGAAACAGATGTTCTGAAAGGTTGAGTAAGTCGCCGAAGATCCCAGAGCCTGTGAACAACGAGGTTGGGATTTAAATCCAGGTCTGACAAGGTCCTTGGCCCTTTGCGCCGTGGTGCTGATAGATCAGCTGGGTGTGTGGCTTCTTGTAGAGACAAGTGCCCTTAGAAGGATACAGACGTGGGATGGATTCCTTAATTGGTTCACACATTTATTTAGTGCTTGTGGGCCTAGTGACGGAGATTTGATGGTGACTAATGACGAACTTGTATTTCGGGCTTATGATGTGCCCAGCACTGTGCTGAGAGCTGAGTTGAGCCGCACACGTCCCTCCACCAATCCCCTAAGCAATGGTATAAAGCAGGAGTACCGTTATCTCCATCTCACAGGTAAGGGTAGTAATGCTTAAAGAAGCTAAGTTGCTGGACCAAGAAATCCCCAGCCAGCACCAGCATGGGGCAGAGCCCACATGGGAATCCAGCCAGAGCCCCTGGGCCCGACCGCCATCCTGCTGCCTGCACACAGGTGGGCACAGTGTACAGATCATCATCCTTCCTTGTTCCCACATTAGGATCTCACCGAGACCTTGAAGTCGGAGCTGAGTGGCAAGTTTGAGAGGCTCATCATAGCCCTCATGTATCCACCATACAGATACGAAGCCAAGGAGCTATACGACGCCATGAAGGTAACTAAGCAGGTGGGATGGAAAAGGACCCCAAATGCCAACAAGGACTGGGTGAGGAGCAGTGCCTGGACTCCTTTAGGAGAGCTGGCCCTGGGAGCTCCGAGCTCCCCTTGAGCCACCCTTGGGATGGCACCTGGACCTTGGCTGAACCCAGCGAGCTTGCAGGCTGCTGCTCAGACTGCCACCAAACACAGCACTACCTGGCTTCTGCCGTCACATGGCCGTGATGAAGCCAAAATGAATACCTCTCAGGACATCACTCCCCAGGCATGCAGGCATTAGACACTAACCTCTGCAGGCTTGTGCCCGTTCCCTCAATTTCCCGTCACTTCCCACCACCCCTTCTGCACTTGCAGATGACTAGGAGGGAGTCAGGACCCAGCAACAATAGCCTTCCCCACTGAAAGGACGCTTACTGTGGACGTGCATCCACTTTACATCCGCTATCTCTAATCCACCTTCAGGGTGAGGGGCTTATTATCCCCGCATACTGATGAGCACCCTTAGGCTCACGGAGGTGGAGTGACCTGTTCTGGATGACCCACCTATGGAGGGAGAGCTGAGACAGCTTTCCCATCACATCACTGGCCCACGGTGTCCACCACTGGAGATGAACACGTGCTATTCCCCGCAGCAACATCCTCCAGGAGAGGCCCCATCGGAGTAGGGCAGAGCTGTGACTGCTCTTCCTGAGGCTCCTCCTTTTGCGTCTTGACAAAAAAGGGTGTGGACAGAGCAGGAGCGCACAGGCAGAGCTCTCCAACCGGCAGAGGTCTTTATCCACAGGGCTTAGGAACCAAAGAGGGCGTCGTCATTGAAATCCTGGCTTCTCGGACCAAGAACCAGCTGCGGGAGATAATGAAGGCCTATGAGGAGGGTGAGAGGCCTGCAGAGAGGGAGGGTGCAGGGCCTGAGTTAAAGGCTTGGGAATGGCCACAAGCTTTGGCAGCCTGGTAGGGGACATTGGAAAGGGACTTTTCTGGGCTTTTCCACACGTGGGTTCTGAGCACCTCCTGTGTGCCAAGTCCTGTGCCTATTGTGAGATTGGACATGACTCAGGCTCAATCTCTAAGCCCCCTAAGACCACGGGCTGCTGGGGAGAGGGGCATGCACCCACTAAACCGTCTGCCCTTGAGGGCATGGCAGCACTGTAGGCCACAGGCTGTGTCAGCAGTGGGTGGGGCTGGCTCCTTCCTGGCCTGGGGGGTGTGGACCACAGGCGAGCTGTCGTGGAGTCTATGGGATGCAAGACAAGCAGAGGCCAGCCCACCCTCCACGTGGTCTGTCTGGTGGGGAGTCTGCCGGAAGGTCCTGGCTTTGTCGAACCACAAGATGAAATGGAGCTCGGTTGGCAGCCCCTGGCTGGGCTCTCTGGCCTGGCCCATTTTTCTGCTTCAAGTTGGGTTGGCAGTCTTTGTCGCTTCCTAGTTCTGAACGACCACCAGGCAATGGAGCGTTTGCCACTCAGACACCTGAGCAGTGTGTCTACTCCCTGTGCCAAGGACTGATCCTTCCTGGAAGGCTTTAATCCAGAGAAGTGTGGGAAGCGAGGCTGGGAGGAGAAAATCAGGCCCTGGGTAGGCCCCGGGAGGGGGGAAGTCAATCTTGGCCTGTTTCCCCTGCAGACTATGGGTCCAGCCTGGAGGAAGACATCCAAGCAGACACCAGCGGCTACCTGGAGAGGATCCTGGTGTGCCTTCTGCAGGTATCACAGCACAGGCTCCTGGGAGCCCCCCGTCTGGGCGATCCTGACAGCTGGGCCCCAGGGCGCAGCTCTCCGGCTGAGCTGCTGGGATGGGGCGTGGTACAGCCTCCGTGGCCTGGGCTCCCTGGGGACGTCTCAGCGTGGTTGGAGGGCTCTCACTGCAGCCCCTCACACCTCTCCTGACACAGACGCGTGAGGCACCCTGGGAAGGGGAGGAAAGGGCCCGTCACTGAGCAGGTCCCTCACGCCAGGCCCCATGCCAGGCACCTGGCTTACCGTAGCTCACCGAATCCCCCAGCTCCCTGCGAGGCAGCCCTTACTGCTCCCATTTGACAGATGAGAGGACCGAGACTTGGGGAGGATAACTGGCTTGCTGAAGGCCCCGTGACCACAAAGCTGCAGACCCTGCCTGCCCTCCTGTCTGGCTCTCCCCTCTGCCCCAGTTGCTCTGGTCAGCCAGCCTTCCTTACAGATCCACCTCCTCTGTTCCTAGGGCAGCAGGGATGACATGAGCGGCTTTGTGGACCCAGGACTGGCCCTCCAAGATGCACAGGTGAGGCTACATAAGCTTCCACGCTGCTGGCCACCTGGTCCCGCCCTCTGCCAGCTAGACTCCGCGGGCTAATGCCCAGAAGCCTCACCCAGCCCCTCTGCTCATGGGGGTCTTCTTTGACGCCAGGCTGGGACCCAGCTCAGCTCTCTACAGGCCTTTACCCTCTGGTGTTTGAGGAGGAAAGTGAGGCGTTGGGGAGACTCAGAAAAAGGATGGGGAGTGACTTTGGTGGGGTCCACTGAAGCTCTGTCCTGGCAGGAACAGCCCACAAACCTGGGGCCGCTGGGCCTCCGAGGACCAGATGCATGTATTCAGCTCTCTATAGGTCTGGCAGCCAGCAGAGGGCCTGGAGATGCCCAGAGGCAGAGCCAAGCCCCCGTGGGGAGGCAGGGGAGCTCCTGGGGCAGCTTCCGGCCAGGCATTGAGAAGACATTTTAACCACTCAGGGGTAGCAAGCTCCCCGTCAGAGACAATCAAGCAGAGGAGCACGCCCGCCTGGTGTGGCGGGCAGGGCCTGACCCTCAGGCTGCAGCTCTGGGACGCTGGGCTTCTGTCCACCTCCTTGCTCTCCTTCACTGGCTCGTTGTGGGTGTCCCAATGCTAGGATCTGTATGCAGCAGGCGAGAAGATTCGCGGGACTGATGAGATGAAATTCATCACCATCCTGTACACGCGCAGCGCCACACACCTGATGAGAGGTACCAGGGAGGGACAGAGGCCATGTCGGGGCCACAGGGCCTCTCCCTTCACACTGAACATCCAGTGTGCGGCCTTGTCGAGTCACAGAGGTGGGGAGAGAGCCAGGGAGCCCTGGACCCTTTCCCCAGCAACCAAGTGGAGGTCAGGGGTGGCACGTTGGTGTGCGGTCTCTGATCCGATATGCTAGGGGCGTTACGCAGACACCTGTGCGTCCCCTAAGAGAAGCCCACTCTCCACAGTGTTTGAGGAATATGAGAAAATCGCCAACAAGAGCATTGAGGACAGCATCAAGAGTGAGACCCACGGCTCGCTGGAGGAGGCCATGCTCACCGTGGGTAAGAGACACAGCTCTGTGCTCAGACCGGCGTGTGTCCACAGGCCATAGGCTCAGCGATGGGGCAGCGCCCAGGGCGGCAATAGCCAGTGGCTGGATCCCTGTGTCCACCTTCAAGGGACGCTCCCCAGCCCACACTCTCAGCATGTACTCTTCCGCCCAGGACACTGGAGCTACTCAGGTGGACCTTACTGTCTTCAATGTGCTGTGTCCGGCCAGGGATTGTTCTCTGTGCTGCCCACAGAGTGCCCAATGCTGTATGGGTGTGTCATGTGTGTGTGAGTATGAGAGTGTGTGTGAATGTGTATGTGAGTGTGTGAATGTGTGTGTGTGCACATTTGCAGGGGTATGCCGGACCCTGGCCCTGCGCTCACCCACAGCAGCCACAGAAGGCACATTCTGGTTCTGGTTATGAAGCCATGAAGACAGTCACTTTAGCCTGGAGCCTGCTCCCTGCCTAGGTTTCTGATTTAAGAAATGATGATGTGTAGTTTGAGTCCAAACTGAGTAATTGATGGTCTGATGCTGGGGAACATTGAGAACGTTTCCCAAAGAGCACATCTTGGGGTCCAGAGCCGAGGTCACGGTGAGAGGAGTCATCGCAGAGTGGAGATCTGAGGCCCAGGGGCTGAGGGACTTCTGCTCTCCTCCCTCCCACGATGGAGCCAAGGTCAGGGCCCTGGGGCTGGGGCGCTCACCTCCACACCAGGCTGTCCCCATTCCGTGCCCAGCAGCAGGGTAGCTCCACAACGTGTCCCATTGCGTCTCGGGGTAGACTGGGACATCTGCCACTCCCCAGCAGGCTTTGACAGCTGTGATAAAATCCAGTCTATGTCAGGGCGTCTAAGCAGGCCCCTGCTCCAATCTCAGCTCCCAAAGTCAGCCCCTGCATCCGGTCTGAACAAGCTCCCGAATAAAATAAAAAGGCAGCGAAAAGTGAAGGTGAGCGGTGCCCTCCTGTGCTGGGCACTTCCTATTTCATTTCTCCTGGAAGACCCAGATCCCTCACTTCACAGATGAGGACAGCACAAGGCAGGGAGGTCAGGTAATGAAGTCACGCACTGCCGGCAAGGTGAGGTTTGAATACCCTTCGGCCTCACTCAGAGCCTGCGCTCTTTCCTCTGCCCTGGGTTAAAGTGCCAGCCTCCCCCACCCAGAGGCCGAGTCTCTGAAGCAGCACCCATTAAAGCGAGCGTGTAGCCAGATGCCCTATGTGCCCAAGTGCACCAGAGCAGAGCCCCTCCCCTCTTGTGGGAATTCAAACTGCAGGGGCCTTGCCGAAAAATGACATGTGAAGTGGGCACTCAGAGGCCGGCAGTCAGCATACTGGGGCTCCTCTGTGGAGCTGAGTGGCTGGATTCTTGGCAGAGATGTCTCTGCAGCGTAAGAGTCCAGAAGCCGCCCTGGGCAGAGCTGTGCTCTGATGGGCCAGCCCTGCAGGCCCCCGTGCATTTAATGCCTCACCCTTTGCCTGCCTATTCTGTGCCTTTGGACCCATGCCCAGTGCCCCAGGCTTCCTTCCCTGTCCCACCCCACCTGACACAAAGCCTCTCATTTTGAAACTAGGCAGGACACAAATAAATAGACCAAGACTTGCATAATGCTAACCTTTAAGACCCAAGGCAAGACATAAACAAATAAACATGTACACAATGTCACCTACAGCCTCCAGTTGTTAACAGAGCTTTCCTGTTTTCCAGTGAAATGCACCCGGAACCTCCACAGCTACTTTGCGGAGCGACTTTACTACGCCATGAAGGTAACCATTCTGTCTTCTGTGCCCCTTACTGTCAACCCTTCTTTGGCACAAAGCAAAAGAGCTCAGAGCCACCAATTTGAGCAGGTGTGTTCACAGGTGTTCATTGCCCTGAAGTTTCACAATGATCCTGTGAGACTTGTGTCATAACTGCCATCCTAGAGATGGTGAAACGAAGGCTTGTGGCCAAGGTCCCACAGCTGGTAACTGGCAGAGCCTTGATTTGAGCCAAAGCCAGTCCAAGAGTCCTTTTTATCCCACCACGCGGCCTCCTTGAGAGAGCACAGGTCAGGATTGCCAGGAAGCCAAGGCGCCCTTTGAACGGACCAGTTCCGAGGGAGATTGCCACGTGCGGCAGCTCAACTTTCCTGCCTGGGTGCCAATCTGGGTCCTTTGTCCAAAAGGCTGCACTAGCCACTCAAACAGATGTCCACACCACTTGTGTCAGGTGGAGTTTCTGGTATCTGGAACCAAACTGGAATACAGACAGTCAAATTAATTCCCCGAGACAAAAGTCAGCGCCCACCTTCTCTGATTTATGGTTGCTGATACCACCTGAAGTAAGAAGCTCAAGCTCTCTGGCCAGGGAATGAGAGAGGGCATGGGATTTCCTTGGCCACGTGGCTCCATCTGACATGAGACTAGTCAAGGATGAAAGTGAGCAGGAAGGTCCTGATTGGGAATTGACCAGTTAAGCTGAATTACATGACGTTGCTGCCTTAGGAAGAAGTCTTATTTCTGGAGCAGTGAGTGTTTTGTGTCTAGAGACTTATGTGGCAAACCACGCACTGCAATTGGGGCATCTGGTTTCTAGTAGGGGAAGAGAGGTGGGCATTTAGTGAGAAGAGATTAAGGGAATGTAAACCCTAAGCCACTAAAGCGTCCCTCTTAGTGCTTCACTCACTGAAGCAGAGGCTCATTCCTGCATCTCCATCCCTCTAAAAGTCCCCTGGACCCAAAGCACGGATTTGTCCATCATCCCAGAGATGGACCAGAAAGGAGAGACGTGATTGTTGACTGCTGTATCTTATCCAGGGAGCAGGGACGTGTGATGGAACCCTGATAAGAAACATTGTTTCGAGGAGCGAGATTGACTTAAATTTTATCATGTGTCAGTTTGAGAAGATGTATGGCAAGACCCTCAGCAGCATGATCATGGTAAGCCATGAGTTTCCAATTCCAACACCAGTTTGAAACAGAGACATTACTGGGAGACCTGGATGTTGTGACCAATGTCATAAGTCACATGTGTCCATCCCTTCTCAGTGGTTGTCACACTCTTGCATTCATTGCCATGTGGTATGTAGAGGGATCAGCAAGGAGGTCATGTGGCTAAGGCCTGGAGGGGAGTAGGGGAGGCCCCTGTACCTCATGCCCAGAGAGTTGGCTTTGCATTTGGGTTATGGTTGCCCCTTTGAAAATGACACACCAAATCCTTGCAGAAGGAACCATAGCTGAAGAGTCAATGAGAGTCAATAGTTTAGTAGGAATTGAAGCATAGCATTCAAATCCAGATTTAAGTAGTCCTGGCAGTAAAATTTTAGGGAGATAAATAAGATGGGCTCCAGTGGGTGGCCTAACCAGATTCCAGTTAGTGAAAGTTCTGGAGTTGAGAAAATGCAGAGTGATTATCACACTGCTATAACTTCGAGAGAAAAAGCTATTCTAGCCATTAATGCAAATTGAGGCCGTGACAAATTCGTTAACAGAAGCCAAACCAGGAGAAATATATCCCTAAGTCTTCACTGGCTATTAAGTAAGTCTTTGGTTATTCTACAAAGGTCTATTGTTAACTACACTTTCCAAGAAACATATAGCTTACAATACATTAAAAAGACATTTCTGCTTTAAGATGTCTCAGAATGGGACAGTGGGCGGGTGGGGGTGATGGGGTGGAATTATTCTTTGTTCATTTTAGGCTTTCCAGCCAGTCTTGTCAAGAGTCAGGAGCGCTATTTGCAAACCAGCCCAGGCTACTGCTGTGTCATCCACAGAGATGGCTTTCCCAGCCCACATGTCATGAATTCCTTCAACCATACATTGTTCTGTGGCATTGGGAGGATTTCTATTCCTTCTCACCATTCCAGCTAGATAGAGCTACAGTCAGACTTCAGAAGAACAAAAACACCTCTTGAGTGAAAATGATCGCTTTGACCCGTCTAAGATGTGGACCTCATGATGGAAGGAGACTTAGCAGGCTAGTTAGTGCATAATCAATAATAGAGCCCTGTATCATGACATACACGAAGCCCACCCTCTTAGATTGCCTAAAGTTGTCACTTAAGAAAATTTAGTTGGAACTGTGAATAAGCTAGCCAAATATTTTCTTTTTAGTATAGACCACTCTCTGTACATGTCATAGAAGCAAAAACGATTTCCAACAGTGATACCAGCATTAAATTAATAGAAAAATTTATAAAAACCCCACATATAATGTTATACCCATTTGAAAAGATAGACAAAAGGAATAGTTTTATTTAAAAAAAGCTATATTACAGAAATTGTTTTGTAAGTAGTAAAAAAAAAAAACAAATTTAAAATGTGGTTAAAAATTTCAGGCCCAAATGATTTCACAAGCAAACTTGACTAAACAGTTAAAGAATAGATAATTCCCGTGAGACATAAACTGCTATAGAACATAGAAGAGTGGAACTAGCCCCCAGCCCTACCACTTACTAGGTGGCCTTGGATGAATCCGATACCCTCTCTTGGTCCCATTTTTCTCAACCACATAAAAAGGGGGTTGAATATGCCCTCCCCTGTTCCCCTGGCTCTGTGTGCAGATCCTTGGCTAGCTAGTCCTATCAGGACCTGCCTAGTAGCCAAGGGGGCCTGGTAGACCACAGAAATGGGGTTCAGCCATTGGACCTGTGGGGTCTATCCTGTTGGGAGACGAACGCTGCTTGACCCCTACGTGACCAGCTACTGTGCAGCAAGCTCACATTTCTACCGCTGTTTAGTCCTCACCACATCTCAGCAAGGTTCATATCATCAATGTCATTTAATAGACGAAATGATGAGTCTCAGAGTGATGAAGGGACTTGCCTCGGCCATGGAGTCAGTGAGTGATGGAGCAGTGATCCAGGTTCTGTGTGGGCCCAAAGCCCAGGCTCCTTCCACCCAACCCCCTGCCTCCAGGTGTGGCAGTGGGTACCCTGCTTTCAGCCTCGGTTCCCTGATCTGCAATAGCAGTGTTGAGTAGATGATGGATCATGTTGTATAGATGAATGGTCAGGCACACCCGGGTCCTGGATGAAACATGAGGAAGAGCCCTGGAGCAACTGATGGGGTAAGGGAACCACCTAAATGCCTTCCTTACTCAAGAGCAGAACTGTCTCTGTGATTCATTGTCAGAGAATCAAAAGGAGATATAAAAGAATAGCCTGAAATGGAAAACAAGGAAAGATGCGTGACATAGTATGGGCCCTGCAGTATAGGAACCACATAGAGATGTGCCAGGCCTCCCCACAGGGAGCAGGACTCCTAGTAATAATAAGAACATTGCTCTTGACGGAGGCAATTCCCAGCCAGGTCGACGTCACAAACACCCCTCTTCTAACTCTCATGTCCCTCCTGTCCTCAGGAAGACACCAGTGGCGACTACAAGAATGCCCTGCTGAACCTAGTGGGCAGCAACCCCTGAAGGCTCAGAGGATGAGAACAAAGGCCAAGAAGCCACAGCCACCAAGCCCTGCTTGCTCAACTTTGGCCATGGATGGGGGTGGGGGGTGGGGCACAGCAAACCTTTCAGTCTTCTCTCTCCCAGCTCCCAGTGCTTTCCAGCCAGTTTTTCTGACCCAGGGGGGAGGGAGCAGCCTCCCTTCACCTTCTTCCCAGGTCATTGCCAACCTCAGCACACACCTGGCCCAACAAATATCTCAGCAGGAACGGGTCTGCAGGGGCTCATGGTCGGTTCTTCCTCCCTTACACTCGTGCTTCCCAACCTTGACTGGTCAGAGTCTCCTGGGTACAAGTTACACAGATACCCAGCCCCACCCCTATCCATGAATCTGGATCTGCAGAGAAGGGACCAGGAAATATGGAATTTTACTAAGCATCTCAGCTGATAAGCTTGTCTTTCAAGAACCAGAGAGAAGGCTGTGAGAGCCTATTTAGAGCACACACTCCTGGTCAGCTGACAAAGGAACACACACATCCAGGCCAACTAGGATATCACTAACATTCATTCACTAGCCTCATCTAAAAATGTTAGGCTATAGGTAGAAGAAAAATTCTCTCACCGCCCTACTAAGCAAGAAAGCTGCAGATCAGTGTCCTGACCCAAGGACACTGTGTTCTAAGACGCTCAGACTTCACCAGTCATTTCCTTCCATGACACAAGTATGGAGCATCTCTTATCCCAACCGAATGGCGACAGGAACTGGTTACTCAGAGAAGCTGAGATGTCTGTGCTGTGCGTTTCAGAATAATAAAGACTTGTACATTCCCATCTAAGTGTCTTTGGATTTTCAGCAGTGACCAAAGTAGGACCAATTTAATTTCTCAGTGGATATAGAAGAAATGTGATTAAAAAACACTTTGGGAATCAAAACTGAGCCCCCAGGTGGGAATTTCCCTGTGGGAACACTCTGAACTGTGCCTGCTGTCACCCTGGAGATGATTTATGTAAATGAAGATACTTTCCATTCACCTCCTGATTTATAGCCTAAATCCTGATATCTCAGAGTTGGAGGGGGCTTTAAAAGCCATGTGCTCCTATTCCATCTTGCAGCCTGCCTCCTCGTGGCATCCACACAGGGGGATCCAGCTGGCCTTGGCTGCCTCCACGATGGGAACTCACAGCCCCCTTGGACAGCCCAGTCTTTTTCCAACAGGTGTGATCAGTAGAGGTATTCCTGAACTGAGCCAGACTCTGTCCCATGGAGCCTATTGCTCTCGACTCTACTATCTAGGGCCACAATGTTTATCCCATCCCAATAACAACGTTTCTGATATCTGAAGACAGCTCACATATTCCGCCAAGACTTCTCTCAAAGCTAAATGTCCCATTCCCTTCAACTGTCCCTCCTGGAGCCCGGTTCGGGGCCACATTCTCTGAACATGCTCTAGTTTGCAAACTCTCTCCTAATGTGCAACTCCAGGGAGCCGGGGCACATCCAAGAGTGAGGAGCCAAGCAGAGCAGCGAGATGGAAACAGCAGGGGCTTTGAGCTCACACAGATGGGAGGTAGATGCTGGCCCTGCCCTGTGCTGGCTCCATAACTCTGACATCATCACTTCCTCTCTCTCTCTCTCTCTCCCTCCCTCCCTCCCTCCCTCTCTCTCTCTCTCTCTCTCTCTACCCCCTTCTCTCTCCCTGAGCCTCAGTTTCCTTACCTTTAAATGCAGGAGTGGGGTCCCAGTTACAGTTGCTGCATTTCAAACCACCCCAAAGCTAGTGGTGTAAAACCATTATTTCATGATGCTCGTGGGTTCTGTAGGTCAGGAGTTCAGCCGGGGCACAGTGTGGACAACTTGTCTCTGCTCCAGCAAGTCTGGGGACTCTGTCAGGAAACCCTGAAGGTTTGGGAACTCTCAGGCAGGGTGCTGGAATCATCTGGAGGCTTCTTCACTCACAGGCTGGGTGCCTGGGTGCGATGGCTGGGAGGCTGGTCTCAGCAGGGACTGTCCCCTAGCACCCCCCCATGTGGCCTCTGCAGCACGGGGCCTCAGGGTACTGGGACTCCTGACGTGGCAGCGCAAGGCTGCATTGCCTTCCATGGTGCAACCTCAGGAGTCACACAGATCACTTCCACCGAGCCCTATTGCTCAGACATCACAAGCAGCCCAGCTTCAACGGAAGGAGACACAGCCCCCATCTGTCAATGGGAGGAGTATCAAAGAATTTGAGGGGGCCACTTTTTAAAAATCTCCAACAAGTAGTTTAAAATATTGAACCACTGGTGTAGCACAACTGCCCCATGGGAATGCCTGCTGTCTGGAGGGCTGGAGCAGGGTCCAAGAGGCCCCCGCAGGGCCAGGCCACAGTCCTTAGTGCTGGGTTTCGGGGCTGTCTGGGCCCCAGGCGAGGCTCCTGGGTGGTGATGATTCTTTCTCTTTTTAGTTCAAGTCCTGCCCTGGACTTTCTTTCAGTGCTGAGTCACTGAGTCACTTTCTGCCAAAGCCCTTTAGGGGTGAGCTGTGAGCCTCTTGAGGGCAGGAACTTGGTTTTACTCATTTGTGAACATTCCTAGCATATATAGTAGCAGGCAGTTAATGAACATTTTTGAGTGAACAATGAACAAGAGTACAGACTTTGGGTTCAGAAGACCCAACTAGTGGGTGAGCCGGAGCCAATCCTTCCTGGTCTCTGATTCTGAGAAGACGCTCTGGGCCTCTTGGAGTCCCCTGAGGAGGGAAGCCTGCACGGCCAACCCTAGTGAAAATAGTCCTGAAAAGGAGCTAATGGAGAAGGCAGCTTCCCCTCAACTCTTTTGTCACCAGGCCTTGTTTCAGGTTCCGACACTGCGATGACAAACAAGCCCAGAATCGTTCCCCGTTTGAGCCCCTTTGGAAGAGCTCGTCTCCTCAGACCCCCAGTCCAGTGGGGCAAGCAGACCACACCCAGAACTGGGCACATGTCCTCCAGGGTTGGTTTGACTCTGCCAGAGGGATAGGGCCAGCATGTTGAGCATGTTCATCTTTGTTCATCTTACTGTTCATCCCTGAGCAGGAGAAGAGTCACCTTCCTGAGGATTGAATACTGGACTGAGGGCAAAATCAGGACTCTCTTGGCAAGGAGTAAAGGGAGGAACTGATCTGTGGGCAACACCCTACACTGTGTGTCACCATGGCCAAGCATTCTATCCACAACCAGGTTGGAACTGGCCAGGTAAGGCTTCATAAGGAAGGTGGTGCTTGAGCAGAATCTCAAAGGATGACTCAGTGCTTGTCAGGTAGACAGGACAGGGAAGAACATTCCAGGCAGAGGGAGGAATGCAAACATACCAGGGAGTCTGGTCTCTATTAGACTACAGGAATGCTATGTTCAACCACCAGAGGTGGGAGAGTCGAAAGATAAGGCTGCTGTCAGGGGCCAAGTCAGGGAGGGCTCCAGCTGCGAAGCTGAGAAGCTCATGCTATTTCCAGGGCCCACGAGACCCTTTCAGGCGTCAGGCACCGGAGCATCTGGGATGGATCTTAGTAAGATTTCCTGCAACACTGCAGAGGGTGAGTGAGCCTTCATGAGTCTGGGGACAGGGAGCCCAGCGCCGAAGCTGTTGTAACTACCGACAGCAATTCCCTCCAACCTCCCAGCCTAGTACTCTGTGTCCTGGGGTTAATGCCCTAGAGGACGCTGGCCTTGACCACATTCTGTCCTGGTCCTGGGAAGTCTTCCTACACAGCTATGATGAAGCCCCAGGCCACTACGTCTCTGTCCCTGTAGTGAAGAGCAGATGCTCATTTCACAGCTCCTACCCTCAGCCCGTAAATAGCTGAACTAGCTCTGTGAGCCCGGGGCCTGAGCAGGAGGTTCCAGGGACTTCCCCATGTAGGTGTCCAAGTTCCCTCATGGTATCAGGCCGAAGTGGGTGCTCCCTGATGCCCCAGTGGCCTGTGACTACCTTTGTTCTCTTGCCAAGCCATTCCTGGCTCTGGGCCCGGCCCTCAGGCTGTGCTCTGATGGAATTCTGAGGCCACCAGTTTGGAAATCAGAGCTTCCACTATCTCTGTAGAAAGTTTTGGAGCTGGACTCCCATCAGTGTCTCCCAGACCCAAACCCCTGGGGTGCCTGACACTCAGCTTTGACTGGACATGCTGACCTCACGTTGTCTGGGCCAGTCAGCTCCTCCTCAGGGCCACAGCTTTGTAGCCAAGTCCCTCTCCACAACTCAGTATTTCTCCTACTCCCAGAATGCCTTGCTGCTGGAGTGACCAGGTTGGCCATGGGTGAACCATGAGCCGCCCATTACCCCTATGTCTGCTGTCTGTACCTCCTCACAAGTAAGTTCCGCAGCCCCCCCTCCAGCCCACTCTGTCATAAATTGGTCCTAATTGAGATAGGAGTCATCTAAGCACTGCCCCTGACCTGGTAGACTCTGCCACGTGCTGCATGTTGCCCTTCACTTCACCCCTCCTCCCCTTCCTAGGTTGCCCTTGTCCCCATTCCCAGGTCTGTGTTCTGAGGGAACATACGGGCTCAGGGGGACCGTTCCACATACCGTTCCACGTCTCGGGTGAAGGCACTGCTCTGCCTTCCTCCCGCCTCCCCACATGACCATACATGACCTATAGAGCCTTCCCCTGCCCCCAGAGAGCTAATATCACCCCTGCACAGGCAGTGGGGCCCAGTGCTGCATCCATGTGGCAGGCAGTGCCAAGCCAGCCTAGAAACCTGCTCTCACAGCGCCCTCTTGTGGCCAGCTCCCACCAGCAGGAAGCTTCAATGTCGGCGCAGGGCCTGATGTCCCTGCCCAGGCAAAGAAGGCTGAGGGGCTGTGGAGGGGAAGCTGGGCCTCCTCACCACTGGGTGGGGGGAGTTCCGTGCTTTCTTGTAAACCAGCTCTGGAGCGCCATGGGTCCTCTCCGCTGAGCAGTGCATTTCCCCAGTTAGGTTTCAAAAACACTCACCTGTACTGACCCTCAGTGGGTCACTGATTGCACCTCCTTGGCCCACTTTGTTCCCTGGGGAGTGACCTGCCCAAGGCCATACGGCTGGACACAACCAAGATACACCTTGGGCTTCAAGGCCAGGGCTGCCCCTACTGACTCCCGCATGTTTTTCTTCAGTTATTTTTTAAATATTAAATGAAACATATGCATCTGATTAAAAAAAATTCAGAGATAGGTCATAGACATAAACCTAAAAGTTTCTGGAATAAAACAGTGTCGCTTTACCAACTTAGGGTGAAAAAGTATTTCTTAGACAAGACACAGAAAGCAGTAACTACAAAGGAAAAAATATTAATAAATCGGACCTCATCAAAATTTTAAATTTCACCAGCAAGAAAACGAATAGACAAGTCAAAGACTTGGGAAAGTATTCACAAAACATATCAAATAAGGGATTTGATGCCAGAATATTTAAGAATTCTTGATGAAAGAGTGTAAACTTCCAGCTATAAGATGAGTAAGTTCTGGGGATCTAATGTACAGCATGGTGACTATGATTAATAATACCGTCTTATATACTTGACAGTTGCTACGAAGTAGATGTGAAATGTTCTCACTACAAAAAAGAAATGGTAATTATGTGACGGATGCAGGTGTTAGCTAACCCTATGGTGGTAATCGTTTTGCAACATATGAATGCATCAAATTAACACTTGTTGACCTTAAACTTACACGATGTTATATGTTAATTATATCTCAATAAATCTGGATAAAGAGAAAGAATTCCTACAACACAATAAAAAGCCCAATTAAAAAATGGGCAAAAGAGGGGCCCGCCCGGTGGCTTAGCGGTTAAGTGCACGCGCTCTGCTTCGGCAGCCCGGGGTTCTCA